TTTTTATTTCTTTTTTAAAAAAAATATATTTTATTGATATTTTACAGAGAGGAAGGGAGAGGAATAGAGAGTTAGAAACATCGATGAGAGAGAAACATCAATCAGCTGCCTCCTGCACACCCCCTACTGGGGATGTGCCCGCAACCAAGGTACATGCCCTTGACCGGAATCGAACCTGGGTCCCTTCTGTCTGCAGGCCGTCGCTCTATCCACTGAGCCAAACTGGTCAGGGCGTGAACCTGCTTTTTAAACTTAACATTTTATTATTATTTTTTTCATGGCACTAAATACCCTCCTAGAGTGTAACGTTGTCATAGCTTCAGTGTGCCCTTTACCTGTGACTACTGCTTGGCTGTCAGGATACTCTGTTGTTGCTATGTGCCACCCTGGGAATTTTCTTTGTAGCTAATTTAAATTTTAGTTCACCCATGATTATAGTTTTTTTTTTTATTGCTTAAAACAACAGCAGCAGCAGCAACAACATTCTACAGCCCGGAATCTGGAAATCCAGTAACTAAAAGGTGGAACTTAGAGTTTGTTTGGCTTACCCCTCAAGAGTCTGTTGGCAGAGTAAGTTATTCTCCTTTTGGGTCAGACAGGACGGGCTCACCCAGGACCCGTGGAGCCGGGGAGCAGGTGGGGGCTGTGCTGCCACCCGGGAGGCGCGGTGCTGGGGACACGCTCAGTCCGGTTGCGCCTTGAGGCAGGTCTCACGGCTCAGCCTGGGGGTCCTCGGGGGCGGGTAGAGAACGCTCAGAACATGAGTTCTTTAGCTGATCATGGAAACGAATTGGTAATTGGAACACACTGTGAATTGTGACTTAGACGTGCCCTTTGCTTTGCATGGGTTATGGAAATAATAACTGTTGGAGGACTTAGTACCGGTGCTTTGCAGAATTTCTCTCAGGTGAGGACGTCAAGCTGGGACAGATGGAGAGCAGCCCAGGACTGTTAGCGGTGGGGCCAGCAGCCAGAGTTCATACCCGTTCCTTCGGCTTCAGCTCTTGGGCCCCATTCGGCATGTCTATAGGCTTTGATAAGGGCGACTTGGTTTTGGAGTCAACAGTTTCTAAAGCAGCGGTTCTCAACCTGTGGGTCGCGACCCCTTTGGGGGTTGAACGACCCTTTCACAGGGGTCGCCTAAGACCATCGGAAAACACATATATAATTACATATTGTTTTTGTGATTAATCACTATGCTTTAATTATGTTCAATTTGTAACAATGAAATTGGGGGTCACCACAACATGAGGAACTGTATTAAAGGGTCGCGGCACTAGGAAGGTTGAGAACCACTGTTCTAAAGTATCTTCGTCACCTCCCTGATGTAATAAAAGAGAGCCCGAGCCCCTCTTTGGGCTGACTCTGTGCCATCGCTGACAGCTGCGGCGGGTGGTCTCAGGGCCCCTCCAAACATCGCCTCTGTGACGCTCCTGCTGTGGCCAGCCGTGACCTCAGGCCGTCCTTCAGGGCACTGCTTGCTTGCCTTCTACTGAATGGGCCCGGGTTACTGTGCATTTTGAGCTTCTTGGCTGTTGTATAACAATGTCAATAAACATTGTCTATTTGCTCAATGTTGCCCATCAGTATGTCTGCCCTTGGCAGCCACATTGCTCTCTAGTTTGTGGCAGTCTCCTCAATCAGGCGACATGTTGGTACCGTGAAATTATGGAGAAAACAAGAGTTAGTTTTATAAAGATCTTATTTGTGGAAATAATTTTTTTCTTTGTTAAGAAATGGTTACAGGAGTTAATAGAGATGCTGGTTGTTGGACACTTTGTGATTGTAATCACTGAAATTCTGAAAACATGAGTTAAAGTTGAAGAAAATTCAGCTTTGTAATTCACATCGCATTGTAAAACTCATTGTTTTGTTGTTGAAAGAGATTTAAAAACTTGTCCACTGTAGCCCATACTGTGCACAGTTTCTCTACAACATCTGCCAAGGGGCCTTCGGGGTATCATGACCAGAACCATCACTCCCAGAGAGCCCGCTTCGCATGCATGGCATGCTGATGGCAAAGAAAAGAAACCCTCTTACTCTCACTTCCGCCTTTGCTTCTATTCCACCCTCCACAGGTAGAGTTGGAAGCAGTTACCTCATATCCACTGTGCCCGGGGTCACTCAGCTAAATTGTCCCACTTCTTTCACGTCTCATCTCTCTTCCTCCCTTCTTCCCTCTCCCCTCCCACTCTCTAGACTGATGGTCTGACTATGACATAAGGGAGAAGGACTTTATCCTCCTTTTTTTTCTATAGGTTCTGCCTCTGATAAGGCAACCCACAGCCATATAGTGTCACAATGAGCTCACTGCGAAGGCATATTGACCACATGCTCTCCTGCTGAGCCACGCTCCCCTGTGCAGTTGGGTAGTTGGCAGAGATCACAGACTTCACAGCTTCCTTGATAAATATCATTGCATTAGCGTTGTCTCCTTGTTTGCCTTTGGTCTTGTCTGTTGTGCAGACGGCCTCCCTCGGTCTTGCCGTCTACATTCTGATCTGCACACCTGTGTTCTCACCCAGGGAAGGGCAGGGCGAAGGGCAGGTGACTCCCACGGCTCATTTTCAGCATTCTGCCATGTGACTGTTCACCTGTGAGCACCGGCCCCTGTGTGGCCACTTGAGCTACTGGTCAGATTTGGGGTGTAGATGAGGGAAGAGGGCACCTGTGAGGGGCTGTAGGCAAGGAATTTGGTTGGCCTGCGAGGGTCTGCTGTCCTGCTGTAGAAACGCCTACCCAGCAGTCGGTGTGGAGTCTTGGGACAGAGGCTGGGCTCCAGGGATGTGTGTAAATCGGCGATGCTCCCTTAGGCAAAGCCGCGCAGGCCGGCCAGGTGGAGGGTGTCAGCCTGTGGAGCTCAGGCGGTCTGTCGGGGTGAAGGACATTCAAGGTCTTCACCCATGGAGGAGCCGTAAAGGGGTCTTCACAGCCTTGGGTGCTCCTCCTCTTTCTGATAACCTTGACGTGTAATCTCTTTTGGTTCAGGTTTAAGAATTTATTTTGTTTTAGTTTTAATTGTGGTAAAATACATATAAGATGAAGTTTACCATCTTAACCAGTTCTAAGTGTACAGTTCAAAAGCGTTAAGTACATTCCTATTGCTGTGCAACCATCACCAGCCTCCATCTCCAGACCTTTGTCATCTTCCCAAACGGAGACCCTCCCCATCAGACCAGAGCTCCCACTGCCCCTCTGGTCCCCTCCCCGCAGCCGTCTCTACTTCCTGTCTCTATGACCCGCCTACGCTCGGCAGCGCCTGGAAGTGGAATCACAGAATTTGACATTTTCAGCCTGGCTTAGTTCACTCAGCACAGTGTTCTTGACGTTCATCCATGTTGCAACAGGCGATAGGATTTCCTTTTTCTATGGCCTCATCATACCGTGTTGTCTGTTTATAGCGCTGACAGTTTTAACCAGTTTCCCAGAGTCCTTGGGTTCCTCTGGTCCTCAGTTTCCCCATCTGTTCAGTGTGGGGGCGAGCTAGATGGTGTGCCCGGCTCCTCTCTCCCGCAGCCGCAGTTCTGTGAGCGAGTTTCCTGCCCCGGAATCTGGGTTCTGCAGGCCAGTAGTGCGGTTATTGGTGGCTTCTGTGGTGTGTGACCTAGCAGGGCAGGCTGTGGACCAGGGAAGGGAGCCCCTGTCTTGTGCAGGTGGCACTTGATCTTGCAGGTGACACAGTCATTGAGTCTCAGACCATGTCACTCCCCCTTTGATGCTTACCTTGGAGCAAGAGTCAGCCTCAGACAAGCTGAGCGGCCCCTCCTGGGCGGCCTGACTGGGGCCGGATGCCCAGGGCGGAGCCTGAAGACAGCGGCCTCCCAGGTCCCCCACAGCCCACGCCCAGGAAGCCCCCCGTGACCTCAGCACGCACCAAGCTCAGAGCTCCGGCTCCCAGCCCTCGGCAGCCCCTTCTCATACGTGCGGACGGCATCTAACTCCAGTCTTCTTTCTTTTTAACATTCACTTAAAATTAAAGCCATGTTTCCGAAATTAAAAGAAGTTCACATTCATTGTAGGAAAATGAGAAAAATTCTACACAGACACAGAGGAGAACATCTCCAGGATTCCTACTGCCAAGCGGGCTCACTTTCTTCATAGTTCGGTGTCTCCACATGTGCGCTCCCCAGTGGGGGGAGATGTGGAGGGAAGGCAGCTTCCTTCCCAGTCACCCCCCATGTGTGGGGGGGCGGGGGCGGCCTGGGCTGTGGCTCTGGCACTGTTCCCAGCAGCGCCTGCAGTGCCCTGTGGGGCTGTGCCCATCAGTGTGGCTCCCTGTGTGAGAGCCACTAGGAGTGGAACAGTCAGGCCTTGGGACTGACCCAGGGCGATTCTGTGTTTCTGGCTGGGCTGGAAAGGCCGCAGGCTGAGGCCCGCCAGGGGTGCCGGCTGCGGGCCGGCTCTCAGCATTCCCTTAGACGTGGAGCTTGTGGTTTGTGTCGGTATCTGCTGCAGGCTGTGTGGCCCATTGGTCAAACAGAGGCAGGAAGTGACCGCTGCCTCTTCTCCTCCTGTGACACTAAGGGAAAGGCCATGGTCCTGGTCCCCACTGTGTGAACCTGGCAGTGACGGGGCCTCAGTCCTTACCCAGAGGCCGGGGCTGAGCAATGCCCACCCCTTAGGGCGGCCAGGGTGGTGATGAAGGCAGCAGTGGGTCTGGTAAGGATGTGCCTGCTTCTGCCCGAGCAGGCGTGGGAAGGAAGAGACAGGGCCCACAGGTGCTTGAGGGGAGAGACGTGCCCGGCCTGGCCCAGGAAGCCTGGCCCGAGACAGGGGGTGGGGATGACCAGCGGCTGCTATGCCGTGGCCGTGGCCGTGGCCGTGGCTGTGATGCCCAGGCTGCCTCCTGAAGGCCGATCCCACCAGGGGGCCCTGGGGCCAGGCCCCCTCCCTGCCGCCTTCCCCCCCTTCCACAAACACTTCCCTGGGACTGACCCACTGTGCTGGGTGCTGGGGACAGAGCAGTGAATGAGACAGCAAGGGACTGGCTCCCTTGGGAGCCTGCAGTCTCAGGGGTGTGGGGGAGACAGACAGGTCCTGCAGCATTGGCAGTGCACCTGCCCTGAGGCCGTCTGTGAAGACAGAGGTGGGGGCTCTGAAGCAGCATAACCAGGAGCTCTGAGGAGGCGGCTCGAATGCAGCCCCAGGGAGCCATGAGGCAAGCCTTCTAGGGTGGAGGCAGCCTCAGTCCCAGGCCGCACCTGCAGGAGGCCCACGGGAGGGGGGGGACTATGTCCTCTTTTGAGACGGGGACTCAGTGGTGAAGGCCAGGCCTCTGCCTGGTGTGAGGTCCAGCTCTGCCCCTTAGTATTTAACCTCAGTCTCCTCATCTGTAAAAGGGGCTCACGACAGAGCCTACGCCCTGGAGCGGTTCGGAGGTTGTGGTGCCCGGGGCGGGTTGGCTCTGGTCCCCACAGCTCTCAGGGAGGGCTCTGCTGGCCTGTGTGTGGGCCTCTGCCGGGAGGCCTGCGGCACCTGGGGGGATGCGGAGGGCAGTGGTGCCCGTCACACGAGGGTTGGAAGGCCATACGGGGTTTCGATGAGTTCAACAAGTATGGGTTTTGGTCCAAAGCACTCTTTTTGCAATGCTGCTTTTCCCAAAGCCGGTGAGTACGTTCAGAAAGGGCTGAGGGGCTGGTGCAGGAATGGAGCGGCTGGCTTTGCTGCCCGCCCCCAGGCCTCAGGTCCAGGGACAGGCACTGAATCCTAGTGTCCTTGGCAGGGCCGCGGTGGGCCATCCCCTCTCCTTCTAGCAGTCCATGAGCAACCCGCTCGGGCTCTCACCTTTGGCAAAATTCTGGATCCGGCCCCTCCCGCCACCTCCCCGCCTGCTGGGACTGCAGGGCTGCAGCAGCCTCCCCCACCCCTGGTGTAGATAAGGTCGAGGCTCTCTCATCAAACCACCCAGGCACCCATCTGCCACCCCCCTCAGCTGCAGCCTCTGGCTTTAGTCACTCCAAGCACCCTGAGACTTCTGTCCCCACGCCTGGCGGCTGTCCTGCTCTCCCTACTAGCTGTCAGGCTCTGCACATGCACACACTATCTCTCCTTCTCGCGCACTCAGGTCTCTGCCAAGCACTGTGTTCCGTTCACGTAGCCACAGCACTCACCACCCTGCCTCGGCATCAGAGACGCGGCCTCTGCATGTCCCTCCCCACCAGAGGTGTGCCAGGTGCCCACGGGCAGTCACTGAATAAAGGCAAGGCCGGGGATGACCAATGGAGGGGGGGCTCCTCCCAAGGAGTGTGCAGAGGGCTGGGCAGGGCCGGTGGGCAGGTTGGGTAGGGCCCGTGGGCAGGTTGGGCCGGGCAATGGCTCTGAAACCCCATCCCCACAGGGGCCTGTGCTGAGTGCTGGCCAAACTGGTTCCTTCCAAGGTCCTCAGCCTCAGTCCACAGCGCCCTGAGCGTCACACACTCTCTGGATGTTCTTGGGCAGAAGAAATGCCCAATGGTTCTGCTCATAACTGGTTAGGCCCAACTCAGTATTTATGTCCCAACAACTTAGTAGCCACTGGGTGAGTAGTTCTTATAAATTAAGAGAAAAGTAATATATATATATTTTTCATTTGTAAACAGCTACCCTGATTTCCGATGGGGTGTGAGTCCAGCGGGCTCTGTGGCTTCTGTGACCTTGGAGTCACACTGGAGGCCACACCCCCTCTTATGTTGCACATGGATTTTTGCGTGGTGCTTGCAAAACAGAGCCACATTCAGCTTCACGAAAACGTGATGTCCTTGAGAGGAGTCGGCGTGCTCGGGCTAAGGGTCCTCTTGGCGGAGCCTGTGTGGCATCCGGCAGACGTGGCTGGGTTTCCCCGACTTCCACCCTTAAAGTCTCACCGCAGGCCCCTGGAGTTCTTAGGGTGTTTTGCACGCAGTTTGGGGATTGTGGACTCATATCATTAGGCCCTATAATGACCCTGTGAGGTAGGTATCCTTCCATTTTACAGAAGTAGAAGTTAAGGCTCAGAGAAGCCAAGATACCGGCCTCAGGCACACTGGTGATTGGTGAGGGCACCGGGACTGGCCAGGTCTCTGACAATCCCTGGGCCTACCCGCTGGATCTCTTGAGTTGTGCAGCTTCCGGGGCCGGAGCATTTGTGACCTCGCCCTTGAGTGTCCAGAACCACAGTATGAATCAGCCCTTTGCTCCCACCGCAGGTCCTGGGAGACAATATGGTCAGTGATGGCAGCTCTTGTGCTTCCTCCTTCCAGGGGGCCCGCTGTGCTCTTGCTGTGTCCCAGACCCCATGGGGCTCTCCTTCCTCCCGCCCTACGGCTGTCAGAGTAACCGCACGGCCAGTGTGGCCGCCCTGCGCATGAAGGCTCGCGAGCACTCGGAAGCCGTCCTGCAGTCAGCCAACCTCCTGCCAGCCACCAGCAGCAGCCCCGGCCCTGCGAGCAAGCCAGCGCCCCCCGATGGCAGCCAGGACAAGACCCCTTCTGCCAAGGAACAGAGCGAGGGTGAGAAGAGTGTATGAGGGGGTGCCACGCCGGCACCCTCCCCATCCCTGTTTCTCCCAGCCTCAGCCCCACGGAAAACGCAAAAGAACAAGGAGAAGCCTGCGCCCAGAGCCTCCTCCTGGACTCCGGAAGGGATGAGACCACAGCTCCCTTGCTGTCTGGGGAGTGCCTCTGGCGTCCTGCCAGCCGGCCCGTGTTGTCCTGGCTTCTTTGGTGACAGGTCCTGATGGCACTGGTGACACCGGAGCCGACTCTGTGGTGGGACCTGTCGGGTTTCCTTCTGTGCCCAGAAGTCTTGGGGGAAAGTAGAGTTGCTGCCCCCATCCCCTTCCTGTCCATTTCCTGGGCTGCCATTGATGGTCTGGTCAACTCAAAGAGCTGTGACATGAGACGCCCAGGGCTATGAAATGGGACTGTCCTTGGTCCATTAAGAACCAGGAAACTGCTGTAATTCCAACCAACTCTTATTCCCTCTCCCAAGTCCAGCAGCCATGCCCCCCTTTCTCTTGTTGAAATCTATTGGCTGTGGGCTTGGATAGCTAGAAGGTGAGAGGATGTGGGGTGGGGAGAGGCTGATGGGGCGCAGCCTCTCTCAGGGGTACACGGTGGCTCTGCCCCTCGCACTTCTCACTGGCTCTTGTGGCCACACGGGCTGCCGGCTCTGGGCATTGGGGCCGCACCCTGACACTGCCGGCGTGGAGCGGCGTGGCCGCCCGCTGCAGGCCCTGCCTCTCCGGACTGGCCTCTTGGTCAGTGGACAGCAGCGCTCTGGTCCAGGAAGCTGTGCGCCCTCGGAGGGGAGGGGCCCCAGGATGCCTCTGACAGGTCGCATCCGGACTGACTACCTGTCCCCGGCACGCAGAGGGAGCTCTCCGGTGGTTGTTTGGTCTTTTTAACTGAAGGGAAAATAGCAGGAGACAAGATGAGAGCGGTGTACGCGCAGAATGGAGCGTGGGCGAGGGCTTCCTCTGGTGACGGGAGCTCATTCCAAAGGGCCAAACCGCAGAGACTCAGCGTTGGTCTAGGCTAGGGGTCTGTTTCCTCACCTTCTCGGTGTGGGTCGTGGATCAAAGGGAAATGTGCAATAGCGCGGGACCTGCCTTCCCGGCAGGCGCCTGGTCCCGGGGAGGCGGTCTCCCATGGCTTACGGGGTGTTTCCAGGCAAACCCTTCCGCCTTTACACGATTATTTTCCTTTCAGTTTCCATAATCAAAAGGCTCCACCTTCAGATCCCCTGCCCCCTTCTTCCCCTCCCCTCCAAGCCCTCAAACAATATTCCTGAGTGTGTTGTGCCTCGTCTCTGATTCCTGCAAAGCATTTGATAAAATACACTGTCTCCTTAAAAACACACAAACCCTTTTCCTGCTGTATTTTGCTTGTTGAGTACCAAGATGAAACGATTTGCCAAAGAGCGGCAAAGGCGCTTCCGTTTCGCTGTAATTACGAATGTTGGGTTGAACGATGCAAGCTCAAGCCCTTATGTACACTAACTCTTCAATCTAATTGTTTGATTAAACTCGTATTTCCTCCAGAAAGGTACATAAATAAGTGAACTGTTGAGCAAATTAAGAATACTTAACAGCATTGCATCTGAAAAGTAGTTACGCTGATTAAATTTTGTGTCCTTGAGGACTTTCAGGAAATTACTTTTGATCGTCAATAACACAATTAAGTAAACTACACACACATTAGCATGAATAATTGATAAGAAATTATGTATTACCACGAAGTACTGATTTAATAATTCATGATGCGACACGCTAGTGACTGTGCAAAACTGGATAACACCGGGAAGTCTGCCCGCTGGTACTGAAGGAGAGGAAGACGGGCGGCACACTCCGCAGACAAGCCGGTCCTTAGTCTCGTACAAAGGCGAAAAGCAACATGCATGCTGTTGTTTCTGTCTGTTTAAATACTGAATAAATGTAGAGGAGTTCCACAGAAAGACCCACAGAGCTCGGGCCGTCTGTTCCTCGCCTCGGGCCGGAGGCTGTGGGGCGCCCTCCTCCACCGGGCCGCGCGCAAATGGAAATCTCTCCGAAGCTTCCAGGCCGAGGGCTGGAGGCCGGGGCTCAGGAGCCTTTGAGCAGATGCTGGGACAAGACAGGCTGCTGTGCAGGCCAGAGCCCCCGGAGCCAGTGCCTGCAGGGGTCCGCCCACCTGTCCTGGGACAGATGGACAGACGGACGAGCTCGGCCTTGCCGAATCACCCTCGGGACTGTCCTCGGTGAAGTCCCCTTCCTGGGAGTGAGGGTGGCCGTCCGGAGGCCCTGTAGGCTGCCCATGTGCAGGAGTTGATAGTGTGACTATAAAGGGCAGCCGGGCTGCAGCCTGGGAGCAGCATATAGGCCCCGGGATTGATTCATTGATGATTATGATTCAGCTGCTAGTGGGAGCTCTCGCAAGAGCTTCCTTAATGCGCGCCACGTGATGGGAAGGAGTCTGGTCCGCACTGGGTGGGGAGGACCGCCTGGGGGTTGGGGGGCGACGGCAGGTGGCCGGGACTCAGGGCTCCCTCCTCCATCCTCAGTCGGAGCTCGATTGAGGAACACCCACTGCCTGCCTCTCAGTCGGCAGGAGGATCTCCCTTCGTAAACAATCCCATTTATGAAGACGCTGCCACTGCCTCATTGCCTGGGGACTTCACAGAGAACAGCTCCCCAATCTTAACGGTCAAGCCACAAGGTGAGATTACTTTCCCATTTCACAGGTAGAAAACTGAGGCACAGCGAGGTTGGACAGCTCCTCCAAAGTTCCATGGCTGGTAGCTCTGATGGGAAGCGGGAGAGCTGGGCTCATGACAGGTCACACAGGGAGTGCTACGTAAATGAGTTACTGAGATGAACTGGGCTCAGTCTTCAAGGCCCAAGAGGGGAGTGGAGGCATAACAAGGACCAGCTTGTCCTGTGGGCTGTGTCCTGGGTGGGCCTGTGGGAGGGGAGGGCATGCTACCCCAGCACCTCCCTCTCTGGATCCAGGCTGGCAGAGGCAGAGGTCAACCTGACCCATTCACTCTGCCGCTGGGCCAGGGCCCTGGCCTCTACATGCATGTCAGCCTGTCCACGGGCAGGCCCAGCAGGGGCTCCCAGCATTGCTGGTGCCCAGATCCCCGGGGCCCCTCAAACGGCTTTTCCAGCAAGAGGGGCTCCAAGAAGGAGCAACCACTCCACACGCACAAACTCTCTCAATTTTCTGGCTTCACCAAGAAAAGTGACACTTCTATGAGCTCAGAAGTGGTTAAGAGCATGTTCTGCCCGTTTGAAATCCAAGCTTTCACTGGCCGCGGGCCTCTGGGTGAGCCACTAACCCTCCCGGGGCTTCGGTTCTCCCTCCTAGAAAATGGGGCAGTAATGGTACCAGCCGCACAGATGTCTTTGGAGATTCCATGAATCAACTGCTGGCTGCTGCCTGGCCCAGAGGAAGTGCAGTAGAAATGCCAGTTGCTCTTGTTCCACCGCGCCTCACGGGTACCAAGGACATCCACCTCCAGCCCTATCGGGCGTGGCTGCCCCGGCCCTGTCCTGGGGAGGGCCACCATTCTCAGACGTGGGCGTGTGACTGGGCAGACACTCGGAGTGTGCCCACTCCCGGGAGGCTGCACTCAGGCAGAACGGGCGCCGATGTGGGGAAACCAGCTCCTGCTGAGGCACTGAATCCGAGGCTGACCGTCATGCTCCTTAGAGACGGGCTGGAAGGGACAGTGGGACTCGTCTTTAGAAACATTAACTCAGCTCCGTTTCTGGGCTCCGCCCTGGACAGAGAGAGTCCAGCATGTGGCGGTTTCTCTCCAGCACTTAGTCAGCACCTTGCTGTGTTCAAACCCATGGGGTGTGCTCCCCCCGCACCCACGAAGCTCACAGACCCTGGGTCCTCAGTGGCCCACCCATGTCTAGACCACCCCCCAGGGACAACAACACTCTAGGGCTCCAGCACTACAGACTGCCCCAAGCGGGGGGTGGGGGGGGTGGGGGTAGATGGGGGGGCAGTGCTGGACTGGCAGGCCGCAGGGTCTGTAGCTTCATGTCCTGGAGCAGCCTCAGCCTCCTTTCTTCCAGCTCGTGCTCCTGGCCAAGCCAGGCCCAATGCTCCCTCAGCCAGTGCTGTGGCAGGGGCAGGGCGATGAGTCTGTATAAACTAGGACCCATCCCGTAACCCACCAGGAAGGGCATTTTATAGATGTGATTGCCCCCTGCCTGGATATGGGCTTTTAAGCGACTTCTTTCTGAGCCTGGCATCCACGGTCTTCTCTTTGCATTCTGTTGGGCGGGTCTGAGGAGGCTGGGCCTTCTCTGTTGCTGCTGCCTGCCATCTGCTCTCAGGTCTCTGAGCCGGGAGGGTGGCCCCTGTTGGCTCGGCTCATCTGCTTCTTTCCCAAGCCCGGCTGTGTGCAGGGGATGGGCCTTGGGCACTGCCCCCTCCCACTGCCCCTGGTTCCCCCAACTCTGCTGGGTGTGTCCTGGCTCCAGGACCAGGGCAGGGCCTGGACACATTGTCAGACAGAGCTGGGCTGGGGCTGCGGCTGCAGAGCCCTGGCCCGGAGCAGCCAGGTGCCAGATGACACAGCCACCTCCACCCTGAGATGCTGGTGGGGACAGGTTTGCCAGCTGTCAGATGCTGTGAAGCCTGCCTGGGGCCCTCGGCTGGGAGGGCACACCTCTAGTTGAGCAAAAGGTCCAGAGAGTAAGGGAGGTATCGGATACAGTGACCCTGGCTGGGGCCTGCCAGGTCAAGGGCAGCCTCGCTCTGCTAATGGGGCAGGTGCCCCTGGGGGCAAGGCTGCAGCCTCGTCAGCCTCATGCCTTCGCTCAGCAGAGACGTGCAGCCCTTGGCCCGCCCTGGCCACGGAGCCCCTGCTCTGAGGCTGTTCGAGTTTCCCATGCGTGCTAACCTCTCACCAGGACCACTGCAGCGCCCCACAGTCTGGGAATCAGGCCTGAGGTCAGCCCCTTGTCTGACACTGTTAGCCGTGGGATCTTGGGCCAACTACGTAGCCTCTCTGGGCCTCATTTCTTGATCTGTAGAGTGGAAGTACTAATCCTAATTTTGCCTTCACAGGGATGCTGGGAGGATCAAGGGAGATGATGCATGTGAAGGCAGTTTGTGAACAACTCTCAGGAGAGCAAGGTCATTGGCAGCCCTG